CTAATCGAGATATTTCATGATTATGGCATGCCCCAAATTACGCGTTTTGAATACCCTGAATATTTGGGATGTTTTCGAGGACATCAACCTGCAAGAAATCGTTAAAGGCACCCATCATTGAAGATGGAGGTCATTATGGCCAACATTGAATGAAAACCAACTAGTGCCATCTACCAGTCTGTTCTGTGTTCGCAGTGACTGCTATTGAGCTTATGACTGTCATATTAACCTTTTTCCTAAGCTAAAACGGAGGATTTTAATACATATATATATATATATATATATATATATATATATATATATATATATATATATATATATATATATATAACATTGAAGTCAACACTTAGAGACCTGACGATTGCGTCTAGCATGAAACAGCCTGTCGCCTCTGACTACTGACTTCAATGTTCACTTTTATATTTATATTTACATACGCTCTATCTCTTATATTTAGCACTTTATTCCATAAATATAGCACACTTTAAAACTATATTTCTGCATATATATATATATATATATATATATATATATACATTTTAATTTGGCGCATGCGGGTTGTTATATGAAATAAACTTTTTGCTAAGCTAAACGTGGGGGACTTTTACACACACACACACGCACACACACACACACACACACACACACATATATATATTTTAATTTCGCGCATGCGTGTTGTTTGTTTTTGATTTGGTCGAATGCACACTATGGTATGGTAAGTTGGGCACTGTCTGTGAGAAAAAGGACAACATGACGCAATTCACTCCGCCAGATATTTGGAAATGGCATGCTTTACTGCATCGCATTTGCAACAGAAGCCATAACATGAACATTTCAAAGTGTTTGCGTCTCAATCTGAAGACAGTGCAAAGGATTCGGAAAGTGTTGGATGAGGCTAATGATCATTATGTAGGTGTTTGGAGTGATCACTAGTGATGGCGCTCTTATGTCTCCATTCATCTTCCCACATAGCCTCAGATTCAACAAAGAGGCCTAAATTAAGTACCTTGAGGAGGTAGTGCTGCCCTGGGTCAAGAGGGTGGCTGCTGGTAACAGGACCCCATATCGCACATGCATTAGAACCCAGTCATGGCTATCAGACAATTTCTGCGACCACATCACCCCTTAGATCTGGCTACCTAACTCCCCAAACTGCAACCCCCTTGATTATTATATGTGGGGCGCAGTTGAGCGAGAGTCCAACAAAACTCCTTGTAACACCAAAGATGAACTGTAGGCAAGGATTATGGTGATATTCACAAACTCAAGGAAACTGTGAAGAAATGTAGGAGATTCCGAAGTCATCAGGAGGCCGTGGTTGAAGTTAATGGCGATTTTATTGAATAAATTTCCCCTTTAATATTCCAATATATTTTTGTGTAATTTTGATAAATATATCTGTTAAAATGAGATGTCAGTGTTATTTACATTTTTGAGTAATTTAGACGACACTTTATCCATCGCACCCTGTATATGATGAACTCTAATATCGATTTCAACGTATGACAATCCGACAACCTCATTCAGTTTTTATGTTTGTGTCGTATGTGATATTTTAGTCCCGCTAGTGACCTGCATATAAGTGCACGTATTGTGCAACAACGAGAATTTGGGGACATCGCAAAAGGAATATTTGCTGACGCTTTTCGCCGTTGTCTTTCATCTCTTAGCCGGTTTTGCTTTATTGAACATACAGGACGGGAGTAAATAATTGTCTCATCAGCATAATTGCCGAGTTAGGCACTGATGACATCGGAATGGTTGTTGAAAAATTATAATTCACTCATTCTAAACCAATGAAATTCGACTCCACATTACTCCTCTACATATACAAACACCTGAATTTCTCACTATCGGACAAGCATTTCACACAGACTGATCATTAACACGTTCGTCAACGAGAATTTAATCTCCTTGTCAGACGATAATAATAACATTTATCTTTTGGCATTACACACATCTATAAATAGACATACGAGAAAGACGATATATATATATATATATATATATATATATATATATATATATATATATATATATAATCTTTCGAAGATAAGGTGACATCCATCTATCTATATAGGACATTTTGAGACCGAATAATATATTAATTCATCCATGATATTTACACACACACACACACACACACACACACACATATATATATATATATATATATATATATATATATATATATATATTCTATTCTCTGAGGCAAATAAGAGACATTTTCATTTAAATTATCCCTTCCAGTCACAAACTGGTAAAACGTATGTATATATATATATATATATATATATATAAAAAGGTTAGAAACTCGTTATCACAAAATCCCCTACACGCAAGCCACCAACCTGTCATTAGGTGGCACGCTGGTGGCCTGCTGTTGGACCGCCGACGAGTTCGTCTCGGCATTGTTACCAATTGCAGATCGCTAGTGGCCCGCTGGTGGCCTGCTTTTGTACCGCCAGCGTGTTCGTCTCGGCAATGTTACCACTTGCAGATCGCTAGTGTCCACTAGCAGGCAAATAGCGTCTTGCGTGTAGGGTCTTCAAAAACAGTGAAACTTTCTATCAATGCCAAGCAAAAATGCCCGTTTTACCTCAGCCGCAGGAGTCTATCATAATAGAATGCATGGTACCTCTCAAAATATATTGGTTAAATATCACGAAATTTAAAGAAGATAGACGAACGGAAATGGGACATAACGAACATACACGCTGCCCTTGTGTGACACCGAAATCATTCTTATCACAAGTCTGTCCTGGAAAAAACGTGTTAGTTAACAGTGTCTATAAGTTATTCAGGCAAAGATATACAGAAAATGCCATGTTCGATGAGTTCGCTACGATTAATCATTAATATACTTTCTTCTGATTTCATGATGTTCTATTTTCTTACTGAATTAATACAGAAACAATATGTAATAATGAAGCCATAAAAAAAAATGTTGAGATCAGTTAAACTCTAATTTCTGTAAAGATACGGAAGAAAAGATTCGGGTGCTTAGCATGAATCACGGTTGGTCTTGTTAATGTGTCCTTTATTCTTGTGAAATAAAATTCTTTTACTGATGACACCGGTTCATTGGTGAACCATGTCAAGGTAAAAAAATTTTGGTTCTCAACTGTCTTTTATATTTTTTATTTCGACAACTTTACTCTCTCTTTCTCTTTCACTCTCTCTTTCTCCCTCCCTCTCTCTCACCCACATGCATACATACACACACACGCATAGTTTTTAAGATATACTATATTTAGCGACGGGGGAGTGTTCAATGTCTGAAATAGGGTGTATGTAAATATGGAATATGGAAGTGGACACTGAGGTCAAAACCAACCGGCTACAGTCTGTTTCATACTTGAAGGCAATCTTTAGGCCAATATATATATATATGTGTGTGTGTGTTTGTTTGTGTGTGTTTGTTTGTTTGTGTGTGTGTGTGTGTGTGTGTATTTATTATTATATTTTTATTATAAGAGATTATAATAAATACATTGAAATCGCTACAAAAAGCTTTCATGTTTGAATATTATGATTGTACTTCTTCAGGCCACGGTAAGTAACTAGTGATTAAATGACTTTTTAAGGAAATTTAAAACCAAAGTGTTACTTCTTTTCCTAAAGTTAAAGCATGGGGCGGGGTCAAAAGGTCAGAATTAAAATAGACTTGTGGGTATGCCATGATTAACCAATTTAATGTGAAACACATTATTTACATCACTCGGACTGTTGTCCTCATCTTTGTCGCCATATTTATTACAATGTTTCGGACGTTGTACGCTTTGGCCTTCTTTAGGTGGTTGGAATGTCGAACTGAACTCTTTATTTCGCTCACTGGAGTAGACTGTTCTAATTCCACGTGCCATGTTTAATGAATGTCAGTTATCTCCAGTTAATTTTCCTCTCAAAGTTCTCCACTGCCTTAACCAGGTATTGAACTCACACTCTTTGGGTCCTGTCACTGGATCTAACTAACGCCTTTATCCACTGTGCCATGTGTCCTTGTAATAAATATGGCGACAAAGATGAAGTCAATAGTCCGAATAATGTAAATAATGTACATAATACCTCATCTCGGAAATATAGACAGGTACTTAATGTCAGCTCGACACTAAATAGAAAAGCAAGGACAGAGAGTGGAGGTGAGTGACTTACTTTTTCATGTCACGATAAACCGGAACATAGACATGGGATCATTGACGATTGCGGAAAATATGTCAGCGACAAATGTAGCGGGTTTGTAAATATTGCATTTTATATATGCATATAATTCAATATATAATATCAGGATATTTTAAGAAAAAAATAAGCTATAGAGATATACAGTGCTCATAATTGTCATCGTTGAAAAAATTGCATGTATTAAAATAAGCTGACTAGAACAATGATAATCTATGTCTTGAAGAGACATCGGATTAAAGAAAAATATAATTTAGGATTATTGTGAAACATTACTACATTTCCTTAATGCACCCTGCTATTTATCCCAAATCTGGAAGAGATAGTTTCATACCTTTTACAATAGTATATCTTACTTTTTAATCATTTCACCCCGAACAAGGCAATAAAGCCACTAAGGCGCATGGTTACTGAGAATAAGAGAATTAGAGAAAGAAAAACAGTGTTAAGGAGAGAGAACAATAAAAGAACGCGAATTAAGAGGACAGAGGATAATGATTGAAATTACATTTAAATGTATGAAGATCAAAGTTGACTAGGAAGCAAAAAGCCGGAAGAGAGTTCCACAAACAAGAAGTGCGAGAGAAGGAACTGTTAGCTTAGAACTTACGGTTGCGTCTATCCATTTCAACTGTAAAACGAGATATTGCCGCCAATCTAGTACTGCGCTTTAATTCATAAAGCTCTATAGAGGAAAGTTCCTCAAAACAATTACCATGAAAGTATTTATAGAAAAGGTACAGGGAAGTTAGTTTACAGCGGTGGGACAGTGAATGAAGCCGGGATGCCAGGTCATTACATCAACAGAACATCCAAGGTTACAGCATTTGTTATTCCCAAGCGATCTCCCATCTTGGTACTGGCTAGGTTTGATGATACTTAACTTTGGTGATCGTACGGGAACCGGTGTTCAACGTGATATGGCCGTAAGTTTAGACATAGACTGGTATAGCGAATATTAAATGATGATATAGGAAAGCTTTAGGAAATTATTATAGAAATACATTGAACATATTTTTACAACAGAAAAAATATAATCATTGTAACATTAAAATAGGCGCTATAAATTATTTTACAATAGAAATGCGTTGCCATTTATTTTATCTTGGGAATGATGTGTAACTTATAATACAAAAGAAATGTATTGCAAATTGCTTTATGAGGGAATATATATATATATATATATATATATATATATATATATATATATATATATAATTGTTTATTAGAAATGATAACATAAATATATAATAAAATCACTACAAAAATAGCCATTTTGTTTCAACCCTTCTGGCATCTTCTCAAGTGATGGTGTTAAATGTTGAATAAAGGTCTTTTTTTTTTTAACAAGACGGAAAGCCACTAGCACGCAATGGGGTTATAGAGGATTTGGAGCGAGAGCAGGTAGGAATGATAGAGGAAAGTTTTATTCTACTTTCAACAATATCACTTGATAAGAAACCAGAAGTGTAAAAAACAAAATGGCTATTTTTGTAGTGATTTTATAACACATTTATGTTATAATTTCCGAAGAAATAATTATATTTGCTCTACTCTGTATTGAGCACTCTTTTAAGAATAATATTTGTTGGTTATTGGAATTTATCCAGTATACACCAATCCTATACTTGATACATACATACATATATATATATATATATATATATATATATATATATATATATATCATTTTCCACCAAACGACGCGACAATACCACTAGAACGAGAGTTGGGGTGTAACTCGCTCCGACGAATGGCCACATCTATGTAGCCACGAAACTTTGAAATAAGCATGAGTTTAGTGAAAAAAATTCCATTAATATATACACTGATGACCACCTGAAATTTTATTAATATAGCCATACGTCATTACGACTCTAGTGATAATGCCTAAATTTTTCTTCGATTTGCATTCCTGCGCGTTATGACCCCAGTAAAACATGCTCACCAGACAATAAGAAACCGTGGCACAAGAATTAATCGACACGCTAGGTATGCATTATCTGCCATTCACGGACATTTTCACACGCAGACATTGTTATTTTGACGATAACGATGTGTTGAGAACACACACACACATATATATATATATGACCGAATGGGTGAATATAGGTAAGTATACGAGCGAGACATCATACACAAATACATATAAATACTCCATAGTGTAAGAAAAACAAAGCTATGTGATATATATAAAGAAATATACATAATATCTTACATTAATTGCACAACTCCGAGTATCATGCCGAAGCAGTTATCAAGTGCTGAAATTATTCCAGTGCTTGACATTTCCTTCGCCATGAAATTCGTTGTACAATTAATGTAAGGTGTTATATATATTTATTATATATATATATATATATATATATATATATATATATATATATATATATAAGTATATAATCGGTGTATACGGAATGAATTCCAATAACCAACAATTACTATTCTTAAAAGAGTGCTCAATACAAAGTAAAGCAGATATATTTATTTTATCTTCAACATCATCACTTGATAAATGGCTATTTTGTAGTGATTTTATAACATATTTATGTTATAAATTTTTATTAGAAAATCATTATATATATATATATATATATATATATATATATATATATATATATATATATATATATATATATATATATATATAAGTAATATACATATATATAATTACGTTTTTGTTGTAATTATATATGCATATATATATATATATATATATATATATCGTTTCACGCCAAGCAAAGGACAATATCACTAAAACATGGAGTGGGGTTTAACTCTGCTCCTTCGAATGGCCACATCGATGAAGTCACGAAACTTCGAAGTTAAGTGAAAAAATAATCATTAATTCTCTCTCTCTCTCTCTCTCTCTGTATATATATATATATATATATATATATATATATATATATATATGCTTTTATCTCTGATATTGACCATTTTACCCATAAATATAGCATACATTAAAATTGTATTTTATATATATATATATCTTTATATATATTCAAATCTATCTATCTTTAATGTATTCAAATATACCTATATATATATATATATATATATATATATATATATATATATGCCATTTAAGTGAAATCATTCTTGTCCCAGTCACAAAATTCCATATTCACTAGTTTCTACGTTGCTGAGTCCTTTAAAAGATACACACACACACACACACACACACACACACTCACACACACACATATATATATGCGACTCATACATACATATATATATATATATATATATGTGTGTGTGTGTGTGTGTGTGTGTGTGTGTTGAATTCTGTGCCGATCCTTCTTTTACGTGTGTTTCGTTAAATATGAAGGACAAGGAATATTTTGAAGAAATTATATTCAGTTTTTCTTGTTTTCTTACACTATTTTTTCTTTGAAGGCCATAATATATAGCGTTGTCTAAATTCTTCCAGTTGCTAAGGACGTTTTGTTTTTGTTATTGTTTGTTACTTTGTTTAAATACATTTATTCCGTTTTTTTTTTCCTTGACAAAGTCCACAGTGGACGAAACGCATCGGCAACTATTACAGTTTTCCTATTGTCATTTATATATATATATATATATATATATATATATATATATATATATATATTCACTGCTACTAACAAGCAGAAATTTTTTCTCTCCTGATGATGGCCAAGCATTGGCCGAAACTAGTCGATGAATCTAAATAAAATAATAATGAAAAACGAAAGAATGTTAATATACAATCCAGTGTGTCTGAAGATTTTATTTTTTTAATATTTTTTATTGTTCAATATATATATATATATATATATATATATATATATCCAAGTGCAAAGTAGGTCACCTCCATTATCCAAACATTATAAGTTAAAAAGTGCCCAATACAGAGTAGAGCTTAATAATATTTATTTTTTTACTTTATAGTTAACCACCACTACCTGAAGAAGCGCCGATAGTGTTGAAACACGATTGCATTTATGTAACGGTTTATAACATGTTTTTGTTATAATTGTTAAGAAATGATGCCTAGTTGCACTGAGGAATTGTCACACCGAAACAGTATTGTCTGACGAATGACATAATTAAGCTCTTGAAAAATATATTTCAATTGAGCACTGTTGAGAAATAAACAATTCTATAAACAACAACCACCTGCGCTAATGCAAAGCTCTTCAGTAAAATCAATTGGAGCCCTCTGACTGATTGGCGTTTGTTTACATTGGTTAAAACAATACGCTAGAATTAGCTGTTTCTCTCTGCTGACTGATGATAGCTCAGCGGTAGAATCTCTGACTGACATCAAATTGGTTGGGGTCCTGCCTTGAAGCATTCGGATGTCTAGTTGCACTGAGGAACTGTGGGAGTACTGTCTGCGAATTATATATATATATATATATATATATAGAGTCTCCCAAATAATGTTCTCACTTTTTGGTTTCTATTATTTCATGATATTTTCTTACTTTTATATACAATGCATTTAATTTCATTTAATATTTAATTTAAACCCTTAACCTTCTTTGTATTTTTTTCGTTAGACATATATATATATATATATATATATATATATATATATATATATATATATATATATATATTTAAAATAATGGATTTAAAATATGGTTTCAAATACTTTATTTATCTTTATCTATCTATCACACACACACACACACACACACACACACATATATATATATATATATATATATATATATATATATATATATACAGAGGCTTTTATCAAACAAAATTTCGGTTCTCGAACAAAATAGCCTAATCGAGTTAACCCGAACTGAATCATTTCTGAGTCGACCGCCGCGTTGTATACATTCGTGTGTTGTGTTGTGCTTTTTTTTTCCAATTTTATAGTACTGTGACTTTTTTCTCAACATTGATTCCTATTGGAAAAATAGTTTAGGTTTAAGAACATTTCGGATTACGAACGGCCTTCAGGAACGAATTATTTTAAGTAAAAGATAAAAATGTATGTCCCTGCAGTATATTTTCTTTTCTTTTTCAGTCTCCCGCCAGGCATCTCTTACTACCAAAATGTTTAAATTTGGATTTATCTTCGTTGTGAGTTTATTGACGAAAACAAAATAAAATGCTGATAATTCTTTATTGTCAAGTGCCTATTTTTTTGTCAAAATAAAAGCAAATGCACTGTAGTTACAGAAATTTTATCTCATACTTTAAAAGAATATAAAAATAAAAACTCATTTAAGGTGTTTTTTTAAAGAAATGTATGGTTGTCGCAACCTTTTAGCCTATATATATATATATATATATATATATATATATATATATATATATATATATAGAAGCTTGCTAGCTTGGACACAAGTATTTATTTATTCCGTCATCTGTACTTTGTGTGGTATAAGGCTACTATTATAGAGCTCTTAATGTATAACCCGCAATACAATAGTTGTGGTCTGTGTGAATAGCTTGTAAACGTTGAAGCAGCTTACTTAGGTCCATATATTTTCTTTCACAAAGCCATGCACGATTGTTAGTAACAAGGTTCACTTTTTCTCCACAGTCTCTACTTACTGGTAAATCATTAACATAGACATCAAAGGCCACAGGTTGGCGCTGAGGGGAGCGGGTGTCGAGGCGGTAAAGATGAGGGTAATTAGACTGGTAGATGTATCGGGTGAAAGCCGTTTGTCGTGAGGATTGTAGCATAGGTGTGTGAAAAGTCGCGGTCTGCTTTTATATATCACTTAGAGTAGGTCGAATTAGACTAGGGGTCCACAAACTTTTTACACCTTCGACCCGTTCATGGAATCCTTGATCTTTCATCGACCACCAGGATACAGGATATTAATAATATTTTTTATTTTTTTATTTAAGGTGTTTGAAATTCTTTTTACTCTTTTTCTTCCTTATTGTTTCTCGATAAAATTCATTTTTGTTCTACCTTTGGTGATTGCTTTTTC